TTCTTCCCTGCAGTGACTGTGTCAAGTGTTATGCCCAGATTTCAGGATCCCCAGAAACCACATCAGGGAGCCAGCCAGTCTGATGCAAAAGCATAAGAGTCTTTATTCGAGCTAGCTCGGCTCCCCCACCTTGCCGACGCAGCGACAGGAAGCAGAGAGAGAGAGAACTCTGTGTGGAGAGGGGTTTTATAGGGGGTTGGAGTAAGGGGAGGAGAAAGGGCTGTGGCCTTGCCGATTGGCCAGGCGCAAGTCGGTGTCTTGTTCCTGGGTGTGGCTAGCAGAGGCTTAGACTTCCGGGAAGAAGCTCCTTGCCAAGCACATGGCCAAGGTAAGATGGAGCACTTACCCTGGGGCAAGAGGGAGGGCGTAGCCCTCGCCCTTTCATCAAGCAGCAAGGGTGGACCGGCTTCCGGCAAATTCCCCCATTTTTATTTCTTAAATGACAGCACGTGGGAATCAGCGGCCACCTCTCGGATTGGGTTGTTTAAGACTCGGAAGACCTGCTTGTGACTTTGCCAACAGGTCAGTCCGAGGCTTAACCCTATATCGGCCTCCCACACATTTTGAGCTGGATCTGCAGTCACAGAAGCGTAGAGAGAAAATTATTTTCTCACCGCAACCACCCTTCCCCTAGCTCAGGCCGAGCCTGTGCCCTCTCACTGTCCAGGCGGGGCCCCTACCAGTGGTCACACAGACCCCACACTCCGGCCCCAGGAAGAACCTCCGCCCCGCCCCGCCCCCCCAGGCCACACCGCCGCTGAGTGGCCACAAACAGAAGTCTGGGTGTTCCCACACCAACACCCACTTACTTGAGGAGAAGAAAGGGCTGCAATCTGGCACGTGGGGGGGGGGGGTTGCGGAGGGAAGGCCCTGCGCTAGGAGCACAGGGAGAAGCAGCACTTTCTCTCCCAGGGGAAGAGGAAGTTCCGAGGAGGGACTGTCAACCACAGAGCCCTGCGGTGACCCGTCCTGACCCCTGTCCGCAGAGATCCTCCCCTGCGGCTCTGACCACACAGCGCGGGAGAGCGCCTCCCCGGCCCCTCCTGCCTGCCGTTGGCATGGAGGTCTGTTAGCAGTCTGGACATTTCCCCCAGCTGGTGTGGCTCGGAGCTTAGGTGTCAACCTATCAACCAAGAAGTCCCGGTTTGATTCCTGGTCAGGGCACATGTCCAGGTTGCAGGCTCGATCCCCAGTAGGGGGCGTGCAGGAGGCTCTCGCATCATTGATGCTTCCATCCCTCTCTCCCTCTCTCTCTCTGAAAGCAATATTAAAAAAGAAATTAAAATTGGACATTTCGTCTTTTGATCAACTACGTTCTCTGGAAGCATCTGCAATCAACAATCAGACCTTCTGATTTCCGTGGCCTTTGATCCTCGCTGCCGGTGTCGCCCTGGAGGGAAGGCACAAGGACCGGACGTGTCCCTGGCCGGGTCTCCGCAGCCACAGATGCGGAGCTCAGCCACCAGAGGGGCACACGGCACCCTGGCGTGGGGCTCAGTTGGCCGAGGGTTGTCCCACGCACCGTAGGGCAGCGGTAGAATTCGTGCTCAGGGCCCAGGCCCAGGTTTGGGGCTCGCTTCCCAGTAGCGGGCATGATTCTCTCTTCCTCTCCCTTCCTCTCTCTCCAAAAATCTATTTTAAAATATTTTTAAAGAGGAATACACAGAAAAGTTAGTTCATATGATGACTCTGAGCCAGGAGCCCAAACCTGTAGGCGGTGACATAGGACCTGCTGCCTTGACAAGATCAAAGCGCTTTTCTTTTTTTGCTTATTCCTCAGCCCGGGGTATTTTCTCCCCAGATTTCAGAGAGTGGAAAGCAGGAAGGGAGGGGAGTGAGAAAGACACATTGACTGGTTGCCTCACACAGGTGCCCCAACGCAGGCTGGGTATCGAACCTGCACCCCAGGTACATGCCCTTGACCAGGCATCGACCCCAATTCCCTCCTTGGTCAGGCCAATGCCCTAACCACATGGCCACACCGGCTAAGGCCCAAAGCTCATTTTAAAAAAGATGTTTTTCTTGCTTTCAGAAAGAGAAAGGGAGAGGGAGTGAGCGAGAGAAAGATCCATGTGAGAGAGAAACATCTATTGGTTGCCATGTGCCCTGATGGGAAGCGAACCCGCAACCTAGCAATGCCTGCAACGGTGCCCTCCAGCTGGGCACACTGGCCAGGGGAGCCAGAGCTCTTGTTTTTGTAAAATATTTTATTGATATCAGAGGAAGAGAGAGAGAAACATCAACGATCAGAGAGAATCAGAGAATCATGGATCAGCGGCCTCCTGCACGACCCCTAATGAGGACTGAGTCTGCCACCGGGGCATGTGCTCTTGACCTTATTCCAACCTGGGACCCTTCAGTCCTCAGGTCCCCGCTCTATCCACTGAGCCAGACCGGCTGGGGCCAGACCAAAGCTCTTGATGGCAGATCCAGCGACCAGAGAACAGACTGGGAAATGTGGGGAAGGGCGTTTTCCCCGCCAGAAGGAGGAGGACTGGGAGGGAGAGGCGCTGTGCGGAAAGGCTGCGCAGGCCCCCTCTGCTACCTGGACAGCAGTCCTCTGGGGAGACGCCGCCTCCCTCTGTGCACAGATGCAGATTCCAGCGCGGCCTGGGCTGCTCCGTGGGGGTCCGGTGCCGGCTGGGCTGTGGCACGTGCCTCTGAGAGCCGCCCCTGG